CATGTCAGTTTCGACCTCATATCCAGCTCTATGCTTTCTTGAAAGAACGAAGATTGCATGTTTGGGAGACCCACCATACGATATCGTTTCATTACGCTAATAGCCATCAGGATCTTTTGGATGGAACCAGAAAAGAGGGGGAAATGACGACCTGTTGGGACACTGTTAGAGCTACGTTGACTTCATTTCCAGGCGGCATCGTATGGGCACAAACGGTGGAAGAAAGACCCAGCCAAGTGGCGAACAGAAGTGAAAAGCAGCAGCTATGCGGGATGTCATGAAAGCACGCTAAGCCAGTGATTATGGCAGCCGTAACAACAACAACTTACTTTCACTGACGTTCATATCCTTGCTCGATGCCATTGCTGATGAAATCTGTGTTATTGTCCATTAGTGCGTCTAGCATTTTTTTCGAAAAGTTTACAGTCTGCTAGCCTATATCTTTTGCCATATTTCTGAACTGTTCAGCAAAACCTTATGGCCTCGACTTACTGCTAATGGCGAAAAGTTGGAAATAGCGATTTGAGAGTGAAGCTAATAAAATCAGTTCTGCGTTCTTACGCTTCACCTAACTTGTTTCCCAGGTAGATGAAATTCTTCCGTGTTTCTGCCCAGATCTTTCATTATGGTTTTTCCGGATAGTGACAACAATCGCGACAGAAGGAAACCACATAGTCTAGTCGAGAAACGGAGGGCACCTGCACAACAACATGAAATGCATGCAAACAGAAATAGCCAAAAAATGCGCGGTTACAATAGGTTGTGATGTAGGGATCCAACTTCTACATAAACCATTATGACAGTATCAGAACTCAATTGTCGTAACTGTTTCAAAGTAGCGGAATTGTTACAAACTTTAACATTTGGTAAGGGCAGAGTTCAGTCGAGTTCGATTTTCGATTTTTTTATATTTGGGGTTTAGATACAAGAGAACACTTTCATCATTATTTTCCATAAATTTCGTTAATTAATCGGTCAAGTCAGTGCTTTGAATAAGTGTAAATATTGTAGCGCTAGGCTAATGATTTTTAGTGCTCAGTACCTTGCGGAGGCGGCATTCAGAACAGAACTGTTCTTTGCTTCGATTACGACTTTCGTCTAAACCCGGACATGTGTGACGAATTGGATAAACCGGTTGAGACGCAGATCTGCAACGAGCAACCATGTGAAAGTTCGTGTTTCATTTTGTCAATTTGGCTGTAAAACCGTAATCTTCTGGAACATTTTTATAGACTGTACGGACACCAAGTTTGGTTGCTGCCCTGACAACGTCACCATTTCCCAAGGACCGTATTTCGAAGGCTGCACCAACTGCTCGCTATCTGAGTTTGGCTGCTGTCCGGACAACATAACGGCCGCTGCTGGCCTTAACTTTGATGGCTGTTTACTAGAAGAGCTGATGGATGAAGTTGAAGGCTCTGGCGAACACGTAGCTAACGAAACTACGGAAGAACCTCATGAAAGCGTAACAGCCAATGTTACAAAAATAGAGCTGTGCAGTTACATCAGCACTGATGGTACCACAATCGAAATGCCATGCGTGAACATCACCGATGAGGCAATAATGTAAGTGCTTCCCTTTCCGTGGAATACCTACTTCGTCGTACTCTCACCACACGTTCTTTCAGTAACGAAAGTTTGGCGGCTACGAACGAAACGTTTGAAAACGTCACCGTTGAGGTTCACTGTTCAAAATCGAAGCACGGATGCTGTCCCGATTGGTATACGCCAGCAGAGGGGCCTGAAAATGAAGGATGTCCCGTGTATGAGCTTGGTAAAACAGACAAACGCTGTTAACTCGTGTTGTGCAAATTTTAACACAGTCTTCATCAGGCAACTGCCACCAAAATGAAACCAAGTTCGGCTGCTGTCTGGATAACATAACTCTGGCACGAGGGCCAAAATTCGAAGGCTGCGGCGAGTCGTCTTGCTCTGCATCTCTTTACGGATGCTGCCAAGACAGGCGAACGATAGCGTTTGGTCCTCATTATAAAGGTGAGGACTTGGCTATGCCTGACGCCGTTTGGACGCTTTTGTTTCAGGTTGCGAAAGGTCCACGCTGACCTGCGAATCGAGCACGTTTGGCTGTTGTCCCGATGGCAAGACTGCTGCCCTCGGACATAAGGGAGAAGGATGTGAGGAAAACTGTCTCCTTTCGAAATATGGCTGCTGTCCCGACGGTGCCACTTCCGCTAAAGGTAAAGCAGACAATTACCTGCGATTTATGTCGTCGGTTACACTTTCCTCATGATTCATTTTCAGGAACTCATTTCCTGGGCTGTGGTTGTGCTTTTACGCAGTACGGTTGTTGTCCCGATGGCAAAACGTCAGCCACTGGCCCCACGTTCTACGGTTGTCCTGAGTCTTGCATTGTTTCATACTATGGATGCTGCCCCGACATGAAATCGTACGCTAAAGGGCCAAATTTCGAAGGTTGTCCTTGCGCATATACTCGCTACGGTTGTTGTCCCGATGGAGTCACATCTGCCATAGGGCCAGATAATGAAGGCTGTTTCAACTGCAGCATCACCAGGTGAGTCACGCGAGATCTGGTTTCGTTTTCGTTGCCTAACGCATTTTATGATTTTAGGTTTGGTTGTTGTCCTGATAGGAAAACGCCTGCCGGGGGTATAAATTTTGAAGGCTGCTTGATGTACGTCGAACCAAGCGAGCCGCTGACTCCACAAGTTACCACTCCGACAATAGTTGAAAGTACTCAGCCATTCTTTTTGAACAGAATAGGTACTCCCAGCTTCTGATCATATGCAGTTACACGCGAGTTTGTTTATTTTACAGCTAGCTGTATCCTTCCCCCAGAGACAGGCAGCTGTGCCGATTATGAATTGAAATGGCACTATGATTCCAGGGAGGGCATTTGTCAGCAGTTTTGGTACGGGGGTTGTGACGGCAACGAAAATCGTTTCGCCACGGAACAGGAGTGTCGTGATACCTGTATCTCACCACCTGGAAATGGTAATTTTAAAGTTTGGCCTACATTTTTTTGCTCAATGCCTGGTTATGTGTTGTTTTAAATTGCGTTATTCTAAAAATACATGACAACTGAACTGGAACTGCAAGAGAAAGGGAAGTGCAGGATGGGGATTAAGTTCATATTACACGTGAATATATACGGATACAACTGCCAACAACATAAGTAACTTCGATGATGATTTGCGATACTTTGCCACAACGTACACTGGTACTTATTTTGTTTTGTTGCTCATGGTATGGTCCCCATTTACCAGCCAGTCTTGTCGTGAAGCAGTTCTGGTCACGGGTACCACTGATGAGCACATCCAGTCGTAGGCGATTTACAAAACTACCTGTCAGCATACGCTATTTTTTGTGGTGTGGTTGTACAATCCCTAAGAAGTCAGATTCGAACTCAGGAGATACTTTGTTCGATTTCGGTGGAGTAAATGTTTATTAGGATGACGAATTCTAACCACAGAAAAATTTGCCATACTTGTCTGCAGATCGATGATGCTCAGACGGCAGCGCGTTGGACTCATAACCGAAAAATCCCAGGTTGCACTCTGGTCTGCATCAATCGCTTATCTTTCCTCCGAGGTTAATGAATGAGTACTACTCTGTGTGAAGGTGACAAAACTATACGGTACTCTTGCTACGTGATTGAAGGCTCTTTTAAATGATGCGTTACTATTATGACCTGGAAAATGACATGAGCGCTTCGCCATTAATTTAATGAGAAGAAGGGCGCCAGAATGGTGAAAGAATTATTAAAGTGTGAGAAAGACCGACATTCCTTTCTTACAGGCGGTATGTGCTTCTTGCTGATCATCCTGAAGATTTTTTCCCCGTGCCCCATGCAGCATAATTTTACAAAGATAAGCTGGCCTCTAGTTATATTATTTGTGATTTGAAGTGAGGGTGTCTTCAGGAATAACCCCAACCCAGTTCGTCGCTGAGCGAAGCCCATTCTTACGGCCCTTTCGGTATAACACTCAGGCGTCAGTGACAGATGTTTTTCTCAGGTGGGAACGGTTTGAATGATGTTGTGAATGGAGTACAATGAGAGACAATATGAACATATTGATATTATTTTATTGCCTGATAAAAATGCTGTAGCATCGAAATGGGACCAGTAATGAGTGGCACTCTAGATCTGTACCATTGTCTATGTATAATTAAATGCTTTCCAAGAAGAGAGAAAAGAAAGTGGTAATGTACCAGATGAAAACACTAAATGAAGTTATTTGAAGAGTACGATAAAAACTATGATGTACATCAAGAGCACTGTAACATGGGCCGGACATCAGTACTGAACGAGTCTATAAATTTTTCACTTAGGTGTATTATAGGGCTCTCGCAGAAAAGCATGTGTTAATGGTTAGAGATGACTGAAATGAAGTACAGTAAAATATTATCTGCTGAAATACATGTTCGGAATAACAAGAAAAGATTAGGAGACGAATGAATGAATAGAACACAAACATGAGCATAGGGTATTATTCCCCGTATAATTAAGTTAAAATGTCAATGTCCAGGACACGTTGTAAAAACTGACATTGCTGGATCATGGAGACAATAGGCTAAGTTCCAAGACAAACCGAGTAAACGACCATGAGAACAACTTCAGATCGATGACAGCCTGAGTTGAAGATGTTTGCTGGATCAGAGTGGGTGAAAATTGCAGAGAACAGAAGTCTGCAGCAGTCTTGAAGATATCTTCATCCAGCTGTGGATCGAGAAAGTCCGATGATGTGTAAAGTAGTATCTGATTAGGGAATATATAATAATGCTTTAGTCTGTGAAAAGCTGAATGGTTTGGCCTCATAAATGTAATTTGTGAATTTTTGATAGCTTCTTTTAGCCGTATGCTACCTGCCAAAAATAGCTGGTAGCGAAGCCTGTACTACCGTTACAGACAGGTGGTTGTATGACGTTCAGCGAGGCGACTGTGTGACGTTCCAGTTTCGATGCAACGGCAATGCGAACAACTTCGACAGTTACGACGAATGCTTTAGTAAATGTGGTTCAGTCGAACTTGGGGACATAAACCTGCCGATCACGATGTCAATAAAACCTCCTCATGTAGAGCTTCATACTCCAGCTCCGATCGCCACCCTCACTACGCCAGAGCCAGAAGTGGAAATCGGTAATTCACTGATTGTTTAAAGTCGGTTAAAGGAATTACAGATTTGGCTTTCAAAGACAGATTGCGAGGCACTGCTTTATTAGTGGTATTTCTTTATTGCATGTAGTGTTTACATGGGTAGGCAGACATTGAGTTCGAGGCTACAAAGCAGAGTAGTCACTGACGATATACATTGTGGTTTTTTAATTTTAAATCATTAATGCGGCCCTGACTTCCTCTGGTCTTTTCAACGTTGAATACGGAAATCCTTGCTCTCTTCTAATGGCAAAGGCGACACTTACTGAGGGGCAAGAAATGTTGCGGTTAGCGATTTTAAGACCTGAATGTGCGTAGATAAATTCAACACTATTTTAACCGCTTTCAGCAACGCCTGCCATTAACCCTTGCAAGATGCCTGTTGACCCGGGACAGTGTCATGATAGAATCGAGCAGTATCACTATGACAGGACGATCGGCGAATGCGAGCCATTCGTATGGACCGGCTGTGGCGGCAACGCGAATCGTTTCAATTCCAAAAGTGAATGCGAACAGCACTGCATCAAGCCTCTTGGTACAGTTGTACGCCAACTTCGCGTGATAATTATTCGCTACTTTTCTCTCTGGGTAGATTATATGTGTTCGGTAAGCAAAGACCCAGGACCATGCGACACGTACGTGGCCAAATGGTATTTCAACGCTGAGGATGGGACGTGCGGCCGCTTCTACTACGGCGGATGTCAGGGTAACGACAATCGCTTCGAAACACTCGATGAATGCGAAGAGCATTGTGCCAGCAGAACAGGTACGTAAGGGCAGTGAGTTTCGTGTGGTCGTTGTGCATGACATGCTGATTCGATCTTTTCCACTTGTTCAATGAGCTAAATAGGACTCTCAGACCGACAAGATTAGTCGCAATATGCTTTATGCTAAGCGGAGGCCAACACACGGTTTTGAGGAATCGAGTGATCACGATTAGCCAGAGAATGTTCATAATATAATGTTATTGAGCTTACCATCCTATGGAATGACTATTCCAAATACTGCCTTATAGACTGACTGTTACGTGTCATAATGTTCGGTTGATTAGCAATATTGCACCCCTCCCTTGCTTCTAAAGGTTTAGAGAACCATTTGAGCATCAATGGTAGGAAGACACTGACGTCACGGTTTTTATTTGAACAATATGTAAAGCTCAACACGCTGGAATGCATTTCATCAATGTAAATTATTTCATCCTCATGTTCTTAGGCTGACAAAGAAACAAATATCCGTTATATCGGATTGCACGGTAAAACTGAATGTTAAAGGATTTTAAAGTTTATCAATGAGTGATAGTAGCAATGCCGAACATAAAATGTAGCTAGATTGATAAGACCACTGAAATGGTACTTTATAAGATCCGTAAAGATTTGTGTGATGACGCTGGGGCAATATTTTTTCTTCAGTTCAGGGTTTTTCATTTACAACATTTCATAGTTCATCGCTGGGAGAATCTCTTTTCTTACCTTTCTTGCAAGGCTAGTAGCTTAATGAGTCATTTTTGTGCAGTGTTGTACTTCAGAATGTCCACTGTGTTATTTCGTTATATTCTGTTACATATTTATATTTTATTCCCATCGCCTTCTGTAACCAATCATGCGTACACGTTTTTCTGAGGTTTCCTGTCCTTGCGTAAACTTAGTTTTCTGACTTACATATTGAGGTGTGTCATAGCATAATTCTTATTAGCCAAATGGCAGTCGTACGTTACTCTAGTGTTCAGTATTTCCGTTACACCCTTATCCTCCCTGATGTGGTGCTTTAAGTTATACAGAGTATAGTTTACTCTGTGGATTGTTTTGTACGAAAATAATAAACATTCTTCAGCTGAGTTACGCAGCATTGCTGTATTGCCCCTTTTCTTCCAGAAGTCTGGAGGGAGTATTTCAGCGGGTCACATCTAAATGGTATCTCTGCACCAGCAACGCCTAGACGAACCACACCACTTAATTCGTCAGACCTTGCTCATTGCTTCTGTTCTTTCAAAATCTCTGCTTGCAGAGCATGATTGAAGCTGTACAGTGGATCACAAATAGGATTAATAAGATTATATGGAAAAAGCGTAAAAAAGATTCATAGCATTCATAGCTGGGGATTTTTGCAATCTTTTCTTTTTAGACCCTTGCTCACTACCTGCAGCGCCAGGTCCATGTTCTGATAGGCAAGTCAGGTTTTACTACAACCTAAAGAGCCGGCGTTGTCAACAGTTCACGTTTGGCGGTTGTTTGGGCAATTCGAATAACTTCCGGTCGCTCGAGCAGTGCCAGAAAAAGTGTGAAAAGGT